TCGGGTGATAGTGTAACTCAAAATCATAGTCCTCAATGAACTCCATCCACCTTCTCTGCCTCAAATTCAAGTCTCTCTGTGTCAACAGATACTTCAAACTCTTGTGGTCCGAGAACACCTCGAACCTCTCACCATAAAGGTAGTGCCTCCAAATCTTCAAGGCAAAGATTACTGCTGCTAACTCTAGGTCGTGTGTAGGGTAATTCTTCTCGTGTATTTTCAACTGACGTGAGCCATAAGCTACCACTTTTCCCTCTTGCATCAACACACAACCCAAACCCTCTCGTGAGGCATCATAATAGACTGCATAACCCAACCCTCTCTCCAGAATAATTAAAACTGGAGCGGTGGTCAATCTAATCTTCAACTCTTGGAACGACTTTTCGCAAGTCTCGCGCCACACAAACTTGATCCCTTTTCGCGTCAGTCTAGTCAACGGCGAAGCTAGCCTGGAGAAATCTTTCACAAACCGACGGTAATACCCAGCCAATCCCAGAAAACTGCGGATCTCAAACACACTCTTAGGATGTGCCCAATCTTGCACTGCCTCTACCTTGGATGTATCAACAGACACCCCTTCCCTGGATACCACATGGCCTAAGAATTTGACTTCCCCTAGCCAGAATCACACTTCCCAAACTTGGCATACAGCCTATGGGCTCTAAGCAACTCAAGCACCACTCTCAAGTGTTCCTCGTGCTCCTCCTCAGAAGGCGAATAGATAAGAATGTCGTCCACGAAAATGACTACAAATCGATCCAAGAATTCCCGGAAGATCCGGTTCATCAAGTCCATAATGACTGTTGGTGCATTGGTGAGCCCGAATAGCATCACCAGAAACTCATAATGGCTATACCGCGTATGGAATGTCGTCTTAGGAATATCCTCCTCCTTGACCCTCAACTGATAGTAACCCGATCTCAAGTCTATCTTAGAGAAACAATGAGATCCTTTCAACTGGTCAAACAGATCATCTATACGGGACATAGGGTACTTATTCTTGACCGTAGCCCGATTCAACTTCCAGTAGTCGATACACAATCTCAAGGCACCATCTTTCTTTTTAGCAAAGAGGGCCGGTGCTCCCCACGGCGAAACACTAGGGTGAACAAAACCCTTATCTAGCAATTCCTGGAGTTGAATCTTCAAC